AGCGATCGCCGAGGGTCTCTGTGCGACACTTAGCATGAAGTAGTGTGAGCTTTTTTTAGGAAGCAGTGGGATAGACTAGAAAGAGCAGAATCCTAAGTAACTACACCTCTTGAAGTCTCAGTTATTGCATCTGTAAAATGGAACTCAGTATTCAACTCGCAAGGTGGTGAGATTAAATGAAATGTCAGAAGCCAAAGGTAACACAGAGCAGACTAAGTATTTCTGTCTGAAAGTAATTTTAGGGAAGGAATTTGCCCTTAGCAAAGGCAGTTGACAAAAAACAACATGTTTTCTTCCATACCTAGTATATTTTCTTTTTTAAAAATTTTTATTTATTCATATAAGAACTGGGGGAGCTGACCCCAATACGTTTATTTATTTTTTTTTAAGATTTATTTATTTATGCAAGAACTGGGGTGGAGGTCAGAGGCATAGGAGGGTGAGAGGATTCACCAGACAGAGTGGGGAGCAGAACAGGCAGACGGACCAAAGACACTGCTGAGGGGAGCAGCAGGCGAGGCAGGAGAGGTCTGCCGCACCATGTGGGTTTCTCCCTGGCCGGCCCGAAATAGAACCAGTGCTGCAGAGGCTGCGGACAGCTTCACAGCACGGAGCTCAGCAGAGCTCAATCCGGACAGCTTCACAGCAGGGAGCTCAACAGAGCTCAATCCGCTGCACCACTGGGGAGGCACAATACATTTCTTTTCTCATTGAAATTTGATGCTTATTTTCCACACGGCTTCTGGCTATGACTGTTAAGACACAGCCTTGAAAGCTGTTGTTTGGTGTTGATGGTTTTTTTGCCAAATTTGAGTAGGTCTGAAATCCTTGAGGTTAGTTAAGACGGAGCCCTCAGATCTAGTACACTTTCAGTGACCAGTAGTCTGGAGCCACAAGTGTGCCCTTCGTGGGAATTTTTGCGGAAGTGACAAGATTTGGGTAAACAAGATGGGTGACTGGGTGGGGGGCGCAGGCCGTGGAGAGGAGGGGTTAAAGCTGACTGCAGCAGTGGTGATAGCAAGGGGCTCGTTGCTCTGATTTTCCACATTTACTGGATCTTCCAAAGGTAATTTGCGGAGATGAATATTACCAATCCCAAGATATTAAGCAAAAAATACTTTGGGAGCCAAAGTAAACAGTCATAGTTAATCCTCTGAGCCTTATCACCAGCCAAAACTCATTTGCAAGTTATATGTAATTTTTTGGTACACTTCTTCAGATCTGTCCATCTAAGGCAAATTAACATCTTTGTGACCTAGGATGACCCACTCAACAGGAAGGAGTAGTCTGCCCTCCTTGGTGAGTGCTAAATGCCTCTGCTGATTTGGTTCACCCCATTACTTTAACGTGAAAAGCTTCTCCTAATTACGGCCTGGCCTCTAGTTTGCAGGGAGACCTGGCTTCGGTGGGTCGCCCTCAGGGTATCAACCGCAGACACCGGTGACCTCAGCAGATCAAGTGTCAGGTGAATGGTCCTGAAATCCAAGATCCCATTTCTATGCAAATTTACCTTAATAAGCAGGATGGAGACAAGGGGAGGGCAATTGCTCAACATATCACAAAGTCACAGAAGTTAGACAAGAAAAAATATCCAAGGCACGTTCTCGCTATAACCTTGAGCTGGGGGGGAGCTTGCCTAGAGCACATGTAACTCAGATCAGTCTTGGGTGCTTGGTCCTGACGGCAGTAAGTCACTTGTGTGAGGAGGCTGAGACAGAGGTAAAATTGCTTCTCAGTAATAGCACTTTACTCTGCCTCTCCCCAGGACGCAGATAGCCTGGCAAAGCCAGCAACGCAGGCACACCACCAGCTCCCTAGCTTATAATATTAATCCTGGCTGAAAAAAAAAAAAAAAAAAAACCCACCACAATTAAACAGGCTCACTCTTCATGAAATCACTTTGAAAAAAATGTGTCTGCATCCCATTTCCATTTGTGAGATGAAATCTGTTCAGACGCTGTTTAGTAGGAGGGAGATTCAGGGTGGGGTATGGGCTCTTTTGCTCAAATCACAGGGCTTTGTAAATTCCTCCTAGAACAGCCTCTAACCACAGAGATGGGTAAATGTGCCACACCCCTAGGGTCATCTTCTGTCTCATCATAAAAATGCATGGAAATTTAGATCCTATTCCTTGATAGTCATTAGTCTTAAATTTTGAAAAGTTTTAAATTACCACAGGGAGAAAGGAAATGGAGCTAATTGAGTTTATTCACTATTTTCAATTTGTTTTATAATCTGTACCTACCCCCACTACATACTGCATCTGGGAAACGAAAATTATGATGGAGATAAAAATATGGCAGCAACAATTCCAAGAGTGAAAGGGGGCAGGGAGAGGGAGGGGGAGAGGGAAGGACAATGGGAGAGAGGGAAGCGGGGCAGGAGGAAGGGGGGGAGCGGTGGAGGGAGGCAGAGGGCGGAGCGGTGTCAGTGCAATGGAGCCTTCTTGCTGCTATTTGCAGTTTCAGGGCTTCTGACCTTAGGGGGAGATGAAGCTAGAGACACTTCTGCAGAGAACCTCAGGGGTGGATTCAATCTGCTTTTCTTGCCAGTGATCGTAATCAGCTCTAGAAATGACTGAAAAGCCGCCTGCCGTAAAGTGAATGAGAACTGACAGCACCAGGGCGGCAAGTCCCCTCCAGCAGCCTCCCCCCTCCCCCAATCCCATGGACGTGCCCTTGGCCCTGGCGTCCTGCAGCGGAACCATGCCAGGCTCCAGCCTCCGTGCTGGCTTTGCATCTCTCACTTCCCTGCTGTAAGAGTTGCAGCAACCCATCAGCAGCCCTGCGACTAGCTCTGCTTTGCACCGGGCAGCACCCGCAGGCACACTTTTCTGCCTCCTGGCATTTCCATCTAAGCTTCTCTTACCACCAAAAAGCCTGCAAAAATATGCAGATCATCTAGCAGGAATGCTTATCTACTCCTAAAATATGGTCACCATGGAGGATGAAAACAAAAGAGACAGCTCTTTAGAACAGCTTCTCTTTAAAATCCAGATGCAGTGTTTGTGTCCAGAAGTGCGTAGTTACTGGCAAAATGGTACCAGGCAAGAAACTTCTTGAACCGTTTCAGCCCCTCCTAAGTTAGCTATGAATAGCCAAGGTTTCTGTTTTACGCATCTCTTTAAAAGAGCAATTGCATAACACCACAAAGCTGTTTGAAGATCCAGGCTCAGGACACATCGAAAGAGGGAGCCGGGCCTTGACTCAGCCACAGGACTTCCCATCTTGCAGGCGAGAGCTCTAATTTGAATATCAAATGACTTACCCCAGTTTATGCTGTAATTCAATTAAGACAATGGGGGGGCGGTGGAAGAACAACAGTGCTCTTCATTAAGTATTGCTTATAGCATATTTAATGGGACATTAGCAACAAATATAATTTTTATTAATTTATCTTGGGTAGGAAGCGAAGAGACAGACTAGAGAGATGTTCACATTTTAGGGCTTTGGCTGCAGTTTCCAAGAGAAGCTTAGCTAGAAAATGTAAAATTAGACCAGCCATCTAGCTTCACGTAATGAGGAGACTTGGAATCCATTACTTTTCTTTTTGTCAAGCAAACCCCTCCCAGAGACCACAGGAAAGTAGAGCTGCTTCCTCCCCCTTGGTTTGACAAGGTCAGCTCAATTACTTTTCAGAAGTAGGAATCCTTACACGGCCAGGAAAAAATGATTATAGCGAAACCTCCTGGCACACAATAGATATGTTCTTGAAAAGTTATTATGAATAGAGTATTTGTAAATGGAATCATATTAGTATGCATTATGGAGGCTCATTCTAGAAAGGAACCCTGTGGTGAATCCTTTACAAAGTGAAAAAGAAAATTTCTTATGCAAATAGCTGCCTTTAATTTATTTGTTTTAAAGTTGGAGTCTTCGTGCATTAAGTCTTAAAACCGAGCGCACCTGTACACCCCTTATATCAACTTGCACCCTGCATTAAATAAATATTAGTTTCCCCTCTTTTTAACCCCCAACATGCTTTTAAAAACCTGTCCTCTTGATGTGGAACCTTCCAGTTTGGAGCCTACACCAGCTGTCTGAGGGCCAGAGAGTCTCTCCAGCCATGCCTGGACCCCCACACTGTGCTGCTGGAGTGGGGAACCTGAGCCACTAGGAAACGAATAGGTTTCTAGAAAACTTGGTGACACTCAAACTTGAATTTCTATAATTTTTTTACATGCCGTAAAATAATATTATTCTGATTCCTTATGCCTCTCCCCCTCCCCCAACCATTTAAAAATCTAAAAAACCACCTTAGCCCATGGTCAAAAAAATATGATGATGGGTTGAATTTGACCTCCTGATTCTAGTTTGTGTCCTTACTCCTCTATCTAGACCTTGAGATCTATTTCTCATTTGTCCCAAAACTTTGTAAATGTCTTGAGGAGAAGGGTTGGTGCTTAGCGGACCGGTCATGGGTTTATGAGTGGCAGGACCAGGGCCATTTGCCTCCTGGGTGCTGTTTCTTCCTTCACTTACCAATGGGAATCACCACACTTGCTTCATAGGCTGTTGTGTGTTAATGTGTTTAAAGATCCTGGCACACGCTGGGCCCTCAATAAATGGTGGTGGTAGTAGTTGTGACTTACACTTCGATGCCCTAGGGTACCCAGTGCTTAATAGGCGCTCAGGAAATGCGTGTTGAATGAATAAAGATGTGATAAATGACCTGTGGTCCGTGGCAGCTGTAACTCATTCCTCAGAGACCGGCCGCACATGGAGGGACCCACTGACACAGACCAATTCTCATCGCCATCGAATGGGGTCCTGACTTCTCAGCAAACTCAGCCAGAGCTACTGAAACACACGCCCACACAGATGGCCTGACTTATCAGATCCAATAGAGGGCAATGGTGCGCCCCAAACCATCCAGTCCATCAAGTAACTTTTCTTTGAATCTTGAGTCCCCACAAGTTTTATCTAGACAGGTTTGGGGATTGTCCTCACTGGCTCTTGGGCTCTTGTGCATCTAATCACAGCCGATCTTTAACATTTCAGAGTCCAAAGTGCAAGGAATGTAGAATGGCTTCAACGGAAACCAGCCAAAGTCATCTGCTCCTGCACATTGTCTGAGGCTTCCCTTCCTCAGAGGACCCTGGAAAGGTGGCTCCTCCTGCAGTGACTGTCCCTCCCTCCTGCGCTTGACTCTGCATCCATGACTTGTGTCGAAGACCCTGCTGTGCGCTCTCTTCTACCTGGACTTTCCAGCTGGGGTTCCCTTAGTTTATCACTGGACATGGGCACAGGTAGACAGGCTGCCGAGAAAGGGCATAGAAGGCCTTTCTTGACGATTCCTTAGTGTGAGATGACAGCTACCCCCAGCGCACACGCGCACACACACACACTCACACACACACCCGCCCCCATCAACTACTGTTTAAATATTCTGGAAAAGAAAGTCAGGGGCTGGGGGAAGCTGGGCATGGCCAGCAGATCACGGACTGGCCTCTCCTCATTTTGGGCTCTCAAATGGCATTTTTCTCTATTCTGAAACACTCAGAACCCCTACTTACAGGACACCTCTTCATCAGCTGCTCATTATGGAATTGTTGACCTTCTCGTGACGTCTGCTACGCCTTACACATTTCTTTAATGTCCCTGCTCTTGATTTATTTCTAACTCACCCTCAGGAGCCTTCAAAACAGAGACCCTCAAATACTGTTCTAATAAGACCCTACCTCTGGTTTCTCTGGAGATTCCAGTCTGTGGCAGGGGCAGAGGTGGGTGGGGGTGGGGTGCCCTGCAGCGACAGCCAGGGGTGCGGAACCAGGCACTGGGACTGCCCGCCCCCCCCCACCTCACCACCCCCACCTCCGCTTCCAAAGATTGACCACGACAGCACCCAGCTTACCTGGACCTCCCAAATTAGGGTGTGGGGTCATTTCTTTTTAGGTTCAGGGCCTCAGGGCCATAAATAGCCTTCTCAGGAGGCCCTGGTCTATTTCCACAGGTGAACTTTCCATGGCTATAAATATTCCTGATTTTAGTGCAACCAAAGTAAAGAAGACAAGAAAAACACCCTGCCAAACCATTTCTGGCTCCTTGGCTGAGATTTCAGTACCCTTTAAAAACCTCCGTTTTAAATGGTTCTGAGTATCGGCCTCTCACTTTCCTCTTGTCCCTAGGTGACTCATTACTTCTTCCTCCTTAGTCCAGGATTGGCCGGGGTGAACACAGCGACTGGAGCAAGCGACCCTTCACAATTTGTTCAAGAATGGTAATTGCCTGGTGGCTGATCTGCAGGTGCCCACAAGAAAATGGCTTATGAATAGAAGCCGTCAGGTTGCCCCCCATCTTGGGGTGCAGGCGTGTCCCCCAGGTGACAATTCATCTCTGTGGACAGCAGCAGCAGAGCAGCCTCTCCTGGCAGGTGACCTGGGTGAGACAGGAGCACGTGGGCAGGGGACAAGGCTGTTTTCTCCTCCCATCTGGGCCTTGGGCTCAGTCTGGAATCACCCCTGGGAAGGCTGACTTGTCCACCTGACCACCTGCTGCCTCTCTCTCTCCTACCGCCTCCCTGCAGATCAATTTCTCAGTGCTTCTGCCCAATGGGGGATCCCCAGCCCAAAGGCACCCCTTGGTCTTGTGATTTCTTCCCATCGTCCAAGGTGAAACCTCTCCCCAGTTAGAATGCACTAGCTTTGGAAGCCCAATAAATTTATTTCAGACTTACAAACTTTACAAAACCGGAGAGTGCCTCTAAATCCCTTCTATCCTTGTTTAATCAAATTGCTGTTTGGCGGGGGCTGGCCTCTCCCTGTGGATTAGGGAGATTTCATTGGTCTCAAGGATGTTTTTCTCGTTTTTAATTGGTTCCTCATTTCCTGCTTAAGGTTTTTGGTTTTTACTTTTGTTTTCCAGTGGGAAGTAGAGAGAGAGGAGACAAATCTGGGGCTGTCCCTGGCCAGGCGCCCCCCACCCCGCTTCACCCAGGAGCCCAGTGATGTCCACGACCACCTGTCTCTGCTCTGCCGCCTTCTGGTAATCTATTCCTCGCTCTTCATCTACTTAAAACTTTTTTTAGTAGTAGATTGACCTTACTCTAATCAGTACCTCTGTGGCTTATAAAACAAAATTTTTTCCTTTTCTTTTCTTACTTTATTTTTTTAAGTTCAAAGCACATCACATACAATCTCATTTGCCCTCAAAGTTTTTTAAAAAACAAAATTTCTGGGCCTCCCTGGTAGCGCAAGGGGTTAAGCACAGCACTGTGAAGCTATCCGCAGCCTCTGCAGCACGAGTTCGATCCAGGCCGGCCAGGGAGCTACCCACATGGCGCAGCAGACCTCTCCTGACTCCCCACTGCTCCCCTCATCAGTGTATTTCAGTAGATCCGCCTGTTCTGTTCCCCACTCTGTCTCTGGTGAATCCTCTCACCCGCTGCACCTCTGGCCTGTACCCCAGTTAGTGTATGCATAAATAAATAAATCTTTACAAAAATAAAAAAGAAAATTTCTCTTCAAGCATAATCTCCACGATCTATCAAGCGCGAGTAAATTCCGTCCCTTTTACCTCGCTTGCTGTTCTCTGCAAGGCGGGGCTGCCGGCTAAGGTGGAGCCTCACAGGTCTTGCAGGTGGAGGCTCAGGGCTTCAGCTCTCAGGGCTGTTGCTTGCTTGGTAGCTGGGGAACCCTAACTTCTCTGTACCTCGTTTCCTTCACTGAGAACTCACATGACAGTCCTCACCCCACAGTGCTGCAGGGATGGGGTTGGAGGGCTCAGCCCAGCGCTCTTGTTTCTTTCCCCAAAGCATTTTTACATCTCCTTTATCTACTGTCCTTCCTTGGAGAGGAAGACGTTTCAAAACTGGTTTGAGAGAGTGTCAATCCCCAGCATATTCGCCTTCTGAGTTTTTATGATTTGTCCCCACTTAGGCAAGTAGCATCTCCCTCCTTGCTGGGCCCCAGCGTCTTCAGCCTGGCAGCCAAAGCTCCCCAGTAGCAGTGAGAAAAGGCAGCACCAGCCAAAGGGCGGGGCAGGTGGGGTGTTGATTTGGCACCTGCACTCTGTCATCTGCTCAGAGCTCAGAACTGCATTGCTCTCTTTAAGCAGAAGCCCCAGGGCAGCCAAGTAGGGAGACGCCAGAGCCCAGCACCATGATGTCGAGGACCAGGAACACTTAAGACTAAACGCCCCATTTATCAACCCACTATGGTTGCCCTTTGCAATATGCATTGTGATCGCTGTTACTATCGCTGCTACCACCACCACATTTCATAGCCAGGAAACTGAGGCAACAAGCCATCGCAGTCCCTGTTTGCTGGCTCCTAAGCCTGACCTCTTCACCACACCGCCTCTGGGCACCAGTCAAATAAAGTCCTGCACGCCTCAGGATAATTACTAACTAGCTTAGGGCCACGAGCCTTCCCAGGGGGCTGTCCTTCAGCCAAGGATTCAAGGGGAGCAATTCTCACATACCCACAAAATTCAAGCCCATTACCTTTTGGTCTAAGAGGCAAAGACTGCAATAAACCCGCTGACCTCAGAGCAAGCAATCACACGCTCTAAGGCAATTGCTGAAATGGAAACAATCTCAGTTAATAAACTTACAAGCTGCTCCTTCACTCTTTCTTTTCTTTTCTGCTCTCCTTCCCTCCCCCATTTTCTAACCTTTCCACCGTCAACTTTCCCCGTAAGAATCTGCTGTATTCAAGTTCTCTTTCTTTCTCCTTAAAACATTTGTAACTTTCCATAAATCTAGTTAGTAAAAGTGTGCCCCAAATGCTTTTCTCTCCAAATCTCTTACACTTCACTGATTTAAGTGACCCCAAGCAAACATCCATCTGAAACAAAGCAGAGAGGAACAGCAGGTGCCCACAACCCGGCTGGGGAGGTGCCATCCGGTCCTACTCTGGAGGGAGAAGCAGGGAGTCCTTGCCATTTTATCCTGATTGTTCCCTAAAAGCAATACTGTGAACCCTGGTGGCAAAACCCAAACCTGAATGAAGCATTCAAACTCCCCACCCAGAACCAGAAGTTATTTCATGAGAAAGGCAGGCGGGGCAGAGCCAGAGGTGAGTACAAGGGTAGAAAGAGGTGGACAGACAGACAGACATTTTCCAAATCTCCAGGCTTTGTTTTCTTCACTTCCTATTTTCTATCAACATCATGATTTCCCCTCAAATGGATCACCAGGATGTTATGAGGTCTTCCTGGTCTGTTCTCCTGGGCCCTTCATGTTGGTTTCCATTGATTCGGGCTCTGCAAGCTTTTATACAGTTATCATATATTTGAAAGCCTCCACCTTCTTGCTCTCTCACCAGCGCTGTAACGTTACTCAGCGCACTTGGTGTCATGCTCTCTGCTACCTTAGGTTTGTATTTTTTTGTGTGTGTACTTAGAAGAACTGGGGTGTAGGCCAGAGGTGCGAGGGGTGAGAGGATTCACCAAAGAAAAAGTGGGGAGCAGAACAGGCGAATCTACCAAAATCCACTGGTGAAGGGAGCAGCGGGGAGACAGGAGAGGTCTGCTGCGCCATGTGGGCTCCTCCCTGGCCGGCTGATTGAACTCGGGTTAAAGACAGTGCTATCAAGCTAACCCCCGCGCCACCAGGGAGGCCCCAGCAATTTTAATTATTTGTTACTCAAGATTGTTCACAGTAGGATTGTTTTTGGGGTGACTTGATATATAAAAATGAAATTACCTCCAACTTTTCAGGGGTAGTTTTAAAGAAGGAAGCAAGGAAAACTGTTGTATAGGCTAAAGCCCACTTTGCAGGCGTTTGAGACCAGTGAACCAACAAATGACTGCCTCTCTCACCTCCCGCACCTCTGGCTTGCACCCCAGTTCTTGTATGCATAAATAAACAAATCTTTAAAAATTAATATTGTTATTTTTCAGAAAGTTAGGTCTTCCTGTGAGTTTTCTCAAACAGAGGAGTACCTGCATTTGCCTCATTCAAAGTAGTTCTTTTTCCTTTTAGTCACCAGTTTAAGGGCCCTAGATCTTAGAGTCTCAAAGTTGGAAGTGACCCAGAGAGTCGGTCCAGTTGTTCCCGCAGGCCGGGGCTGAGAGGAACAGGGTGTGGGGAGGTGAGGGAGTGATGGGAGGGGAGGCTTGCAGCCCGGCGACTGTGTATACCTTAACAAGAAACAGGTCTCACTCTAATCTGCCATCTGCATTCTGCCCTGAGAAGGGAAACAAGAGGATATGAAAATGATACAAGTCCAAATGCTTGTTTCTAACCTTGAATTTTCCAGGTTCCCCCCTCAACCTCCGAGAGACGGGATTCAGACACCTTGCTCTCCTGGGCCCTTCCTCTGATTACACCTCAGATTGTCACTCTTCTTCAGACGCGTCACTAGAATTACCCAGCATTCCAGATCTGGGCTGACCTGGGCCGAGCAGTAAGAGCCACTGGACTCTTCTGTCCGTAGGGTGGGTTTTGAGAATCTTGTGCATGCTTGGCATTACTTCCTAATGTGAAAGGGTCCAACCAGCCTCTCCACATCACGGGGGCTTTCCAAATGAGGCTCAAGTTAATCTTTTTTACTTTCGTCTTGTGTTTGCCTCCTCCCATGGGCTAATGGTTAAGTCCATCACGATCACCTTGGGGGTGGAGTTGTACCCCTTCTTTCTGCTTATCCCTTCCAACTCTTCTCATGAGCAAACTTAATGGTGTCTTGGTTTTATTCCACAGCGAATGGAATGTGGCCTTGGGAATCCGGCAGAGCTGAGTTTTGCTCACCAGCTGTGTGCTCTTGTGCACACCGGTTATCTCTGGCCTCAAATTCTTTACCCAAAAACTCCCTCCATGTTGGCGTTAATCCATCTTTTTTGAGACTCAATGCAAATCCACCGGGATGAGTGGTTATTATTCAGTTTATTTTTCTCATTTTATTCTCTGGTGTGTCAGGGAAAATGCAACCAAATGCTTTGCTGGAACCCAGCTGTGCTGAGCTGAGCCCATGGCCCTCTCCTTATTGGCCAGTCTGATATCCCCCTAGGAGAGAAAGCAAACCAGGCAGGGGCAGCGCTTCCTTCAAAACCATACTCAGGGACAGGCAAAGTAGAAGTTCATATCCTTACACACTTTCCCTCTGTGTTTTCTGTCCCTTGTTCCTTGTGCTCTTTTCTAGCCTGTTGAGCTTCCTTTTGTTTTGCCTTTTAAATGGGCTGCTGTTCCCTCACCTTCTCCCACCTGCTTGATGGAGCAAAGGCCCCCCTGTTGAAGCTTTCTCATTCGGAATTCCTCAATGTCATATTGTCTCATTACCTCCCAAATCCACACAAGTCTTCTCTTGTCATTCCAGGACTACAGCAATTTCTTCCCTACCCCAGCTCTCTAAATTGACTTTAGAATACCACCTACCCCATGCAAATGTGTGTAGTGAATGGTTTCTCATTATTTCTCCGAGTTCCCCATCTGTGTTCTTGCCTCTGCACTGGTTCTCCTTCTGCCATCTAGCACAGGCTGCTATGTACAGTTGTACAGGTTATTCACTGCACAAGGGCTCCTGGTTCAGGCTGCAGTGGGGGCTGAAATTCATCTGGTGCTCTTCTAATCAAGGGTGAGCCCATTATAGTCTACATCTGCTTAAAATTAAGGGCATACTTTTCTAACTTAAAGCAGGTGTCCTAAATACAGCTGTTCCTTTCAGGTCTTACTCAGGCCTGCTCTCTTACTCTTCTGGGGGCACTCGACGTGTCTATCTCTTGCTTAGTGCTGCTGCCATATCCAGTGAGGTGGTCAGGCACCTGGGCTCTGGAGTCAGGCTGCCAGAATTCAAATCCTGGCTCTGCCATAACCATGGGGTGACCCAAGCTGAGCAAGCTCTTTAATTTCCCTGAGCTTCAGTTTCTTCATCTTTACAACAGGAATAATAATAGTGCTGGTCTCGTGTTCTTGTGAAGAATGCTTCCAATATCCATCTAAACCACCTATTACAGTGCCCAGCACACTGTAAGGCACTCTTTGCCAACTAGCTAGTTATTAATTGTTAATTACAGCTAACTTTATGCATATTCCTCACCAACTCCTGAGACTCATGGGTGGATAGATGGATGCAGAATGTAGATCTCATCAGGAAGGGTTGCTAGATAAAATGCGGAGTGCCCAGTTCAGCTTGAATTTCAGATAAACAAGTCATTTTCTAGCCTAAGTAGGTCCCAAATGTTTCCCTTCTCCACGGAAATCTCCAAGTGGTAGTCGGGTGCATTGCTAAGAAGGATGGCAAGGAGTCATTTGAGCTTTCTCCCTCTCATCTGGATTCTCCCTGTTGCCCCTTCACCTCACACAATGCCTGTTTCATATGACCTCTGACTTGAAGATTGAGGAGTAGGTTAACTGGTGGGGTGAGACCTGGGGTCTTGGAATGAAGCCAGTAGGTGTTCTTGGGCAAGTTATGGGTACATGTAGAAATGCCAATTTTTTCCTTTGAACATCCTGTGAGCCACAAAATGTCATCTCTCCCATCAATACTTCTCTACCTCTCTTGTGTTATTTGCAACTTTTAATATTGTGCGGGTCAAAAGGCACGCTTTTACCACTGTGCATTCTGGAATACTGTGTGTTTTGACAAGGAGGTCTCATATATTGGAATTTCTGTTTTTATAAGTGAATTTTCTTGTAATCCCTATTGTGGTAAAGCAGGAACCCTCTGAGCCCTCTTACGTATTCAGATATTTCCCTCCTGATTCTTCTGGCATTTCACTTCGTTATTCTCAAATTCACTATCTGCTTTCTCATTTCTATAACTTGTCAAATTTTTCCATGCTTGGCATTTGCACCACAGTAAAAAAAAAAAAAAATTCCTGGGCATCAGCCCCAGTTAAATTATTAGTAGTCCCATCACGTAGTCACCAGGTTGACATTTATTCATATCGCCCATGTATCTGGTCCTGATGACAAATAATCCTTGAATTGGTTGCCGACACCTCGTCCTGTCTTCCTGGAGACTTGTCTCTTCTTGAACATCATAAAGGAAGTTACTAAACCACCAACAGTACCAAATGTGCTTCTGTTCTTCTTGTGATCTTCTCTTTCTTATAGTTTTTCCTTTCAAATCCTCTGTGATTCTTTTCTTTCTTTCCTAACTCTGTCTCCATGGCTAAGAAATGGCGATTTCTGCTCGCACTAGCCTTCAAGTTTCCTGCTGCTTGACCTCACTGAGCTCTTGTTCTCCTTGTAGCTCTAAAGACTGTCTCCAAGGCCTTGGGCTTTTGCTCAACAGTTACTGGGTCCCACTTAGTTCGGACATTGCACTTGGCATGGAGCTACAGAATGCTCTAGAGAGCCCATCCCAGACCTCAGATAGGCTCCATCTTATAAGAAAGACAAAGAAGTCAACCCAAGGGAGCCAACCCCAACTGGAAAAATAGCCCAAAGAAGAAGCCTCTGATATAGCCTTGGATGGAGACAGGTGTGGAAGGAACCAGGGAAAGCTTCCCAAATGAGGTGATAATTGAAATAAGTCTTGCTGAAAATAGGGGACAGAGAGAGAGACTTGTTCATGCAAATAGGAGTTGGGGAGCCCAGGTGGTTCCTCCGCCCTTGTGGCATGAGATGGGAGGGTGATCCGAGGAGATGGAGCAGATCATGGAGGGTCTTGCTTAGCATGCCAAAGGTTTTGGGACTTTAGCCCAAGAGTGATGGGAAACCAAAAATTTTTGTAACATTTGCATTAGGAAATGTTTACTTGAGTGGCAGTATGAACGACTGGACGGCAGGGCAAACCGGAGGTGGAGAAACTATTACAGTAGTCTTGGCTGGAAATGATGACACTTAAGAATTGGGGACACTTAAGAATTGGGGAGCAAGAGCTATTAATATGTCCATTTGACAGATGAGGAAACCAGGGCTCAAAGACCTTAAACAATTGCCTAAGTTCTCATGTATAAAAAGTGGTGGAACCAGGATTCAAATCCAGCCTATGTGCTGAACTAATATTGTCCCTTATCTCAACTCAAGGGAATCACTGTGAATTTTTTATCAATTGGGAGTGGTAGAAAGACAAAGAGTCAAAGCAGTGTGACCAATAGTAATACAAGGCAAGCCATGAATGTGAGGCAAACTTATAATTTTCAATATTCTACTGTTAAAAAGTAACAGTAAATTTTATTTAACCCAATCTATCCAAACTATTATCATTTCAACATAAAATCAGTCTAAAATATTGATTTTGCATTCTTTTTTCCTGAGCTAAGCCTGATATGTACGTTATGCTTCCAGCACATCTCCATTTGGACCAGCTACATGGTGGGTATTTAATAGCCCCATTCATCAGTGGCTGCCATATTGAACACCACGGGTCTAGATGGAACTCAGATTTCTGCTGTGGGCAGTAGGGTAATAGTACTGATGTTATCATGGACAAGGGATTAGAGGAGGAAAAGATAATTTGGAAGGAGTTATAAATGCTTGTGAATCATCTGGGTAGAGATTCCCAGTCAGGGGCTACAGTCATAGAGGTGGATCTCAGTAAAAAGGGCTGGGAAGAGGGCCTCCCCTGGCGGTGAAGCTGCCCGCAGCCTCTGCAGTGCCGGTTAGATCCCCGGCCACCGGCAAGGGTCCCACATGGCACGCAGACCTCTCTTGCCGCGCCGGCTGCTCCCCTCAGCAGTGCATTTCTTCAGTCTGCCTGTTCTGTTTCCCACTCTGGCTCTGGTGAATTCTCTCACCCTCCCACGCTTCTGACTGTACCCAGTGCTTGTATGTACAAATAAATAAATAAATAAATAAATAAATAAATCTTTTTTTTTTTTTTTTTTTTTTAAATAAGGACTGGGTAGATAGGTACATTGAGGAGCCATTCCCATACAGATAACATTCCCATACAGATCATTGTTAAAGCCTTCAGTAGGAAGGAGCTCACATGGGAGATTACGTAGAAATACTGAGTCTTTGGAAAGAGCAGGAAGGGATGGAGGCCTTGCATAAGTGGAGGAGTTCACGTGTAACAGCAGGCAAGTCATCTCCCTTGGGTGGGAAGGAAGGAGGACAGGGTGCGTGTGGATGCAGCAGGAAAATTTATGTAGAAAGGGGGGTGGGGAGAGGCCGTAGGCCTTCTAGCCCCATGTTGGCAGGTTCTCTTCACTCATTCTACCTCTTTCTTCTCCTCATAGAAAAATGAGCCCTGGCTACTATAGCTGACTGTTCATAAAATCTTATGTGGCAAGGGGAGAAAGAGACAGAATGTAAATATCTATCTAGCCAGGGACCACTCATTTTTCCTAATCGTTACTCCGGTCTTTCTCTGTCTTTTATTAAACTTTTTATTTTGAAATCATTATAGACGCATAGGAAATCACAAAAAGTAGTACACAGAGGTTCCTTGTGCTCTTCAGCATGCTTCCCCCAGAGGTGGTAACTTATATCATCTTAGTACATGTCAAACCCAGGAAACTGACATTGTGCAATCCTATTAATTGGATTCTGTCTTCTTTTTGATTACTTTCTAGCAAGACGTACCCAGAATAAAAAAAAAATCAAAAATTTTTTTTAAATTTTTTAAGATGTAATGTCCAACCAGGTCAAGAACTTTGTGTGCTCGAGAGGTTTTTATCCCTATGCTTAAATGACATGAATTGAATGCAACACTAAAAGTCATCAGGATGGTCAGGCCAAAAACAGCTTCTCACAGCCATATGGAATTTGCACCAATATTCTGGTG